CCATCTCGTTTTTACCATCGCACCGCCCGCCATCGGAGTAGAGGCCACTTTTGCGCTCATGGCCTCAAATAAGAATGTGCATGGACCTGCGCCATATTGTGGAGTCATAGCTGTCAAATCGAAAAAAATAGGTGGGTAGTCAGTAAAAAAAGGCAGGAATTTCTTAATATATTAATTTATAATACAAATCGACCAGCACTGAGCATATCAAGAAAATTATATAGGTTCATTAGAACAAACATATTAATAGTATTTTTTAACTAGGCAAAAAAATCACTAAAAAATAGAAGATAAAAGCTTTTTTGTTACTGCCCAAACTTTTTTATCGAACTTTGACAGATCAAGGTCATTGACGTGCACATTCTTTTGTTTTATTACTAGTATTTGAAGAAGTAAACGCATTTATTCATTTTTCGGTCCTCAAGTTACCTATAAGAAATAAACGCATCAGTCACGTTTAGACATCCAGGGTTGAGGAGGATCCGGTATTTCCGGAGATAGATAAATAAAACACCCGAGTCAACAGAAAATAAATGCTATATTCAAAATTATCACCGTACACTTAAGGGACAAATAATTAACAAACTACCCACAAATGACGAGAATCGAATATTAATAATAATATTAATAATTAACATAATAATTAATTTATTGTACATTGCTCGTTGATGACGAGCGGATTTTAACGTAATGAAAACGTTACAACGGCCTGTTATATTTGCAATTGTTTTTTTTGAAGTGAAACTTCTTTCGAATCGTTGATTTCAAACTCGATGAAACGAAAAAATAAGTCCATAGACAGTTTAAAACAGCGCCATCTATGAAATTTTTTAATACTAACGTGTGTATGAAACCTCTTGTAGTGAATTTTAATTTAGGATTATACGTGAAGTTAAAATATCAATTCACAGAGGGCGCTACCTCATACTATAAAAGATAATTTACAATTATTTACTAATGACAAAATTTTACATATACTTAGTGACATTTAGGATAATTGTATTTTAATTTTTGAAGGTTTCACTTCAACCACGTGTGAATTGCACACATTTTTTTAAATGTGATACGTTCGGCGAGTAAAAAAAATCGATATAAAATACACAAAATAACATACACACAAGTCTTCTTTGTGTCGATAGGGAATTTTATCTTCGTAAAGGTCTCTTAGTTACATAAGTTATTTTTGAAATACACTAATAGGTTGGTTGGTATGTAAATATCACACCTTTAGAATTAAAAAGGGCTAAATTTTTTTTTGTTTTTTTGGTAAAACGTCAAAAATGTAATTGAAGAATTGTAATTTTTCAATTTCAATACTTTAAGCCTTTTAAAGTGCACTTTTTCTTGTATAAGATTTATTTTTAAATTAATATTAACTTTATTAACTGTTAGTATACATGTTTATAAGACATTCAGATTATATGAAACTCATTTTTTTTAAATGTTTTTAGTTAAGCCACTTCAATTCTAAAGGCGCGTATATGTGTGTTTGTTTGTTTTTTTTATTATTATTTAAATTACATATATTATTTTTTAAATTATATTCTGTATTGTTATTATATGTTATAAGCTTGTATTTCGCTTAAATATTCTTAGGTGAAATTTAATTCCGAGTGCTGAGGGGTGACAGGCTATTTGGTTTAAGTGACATTTTGCAGAATACCCGACATTCATTTATCTTTTGTAATTAAAGGTTCGTTTTATTTGGTATTAACATCAACAGTTTTTATCAAATATTTTTAATTGATCTTCAATTAAGTTTACTCCGTTCAAACAGCTCAAGAAGTTTTTCTTTTTGTGTTCTGATATCTATATATTAATTACGTGAAGCAAAAACTTTGTATCCCTTTTTACGAAAATTGCGCGGACGGAGGAGTATGAAATTTTCCACACTTATAGAGAGTATAGAGGAGTGTACAATGCTAATATTTTATTGAAATTATGTATTAATAATACATTAAATCAATAAAGAAAACATTACACACACTACCATGAATTTGACACACACACATAATATGTATACTCTTTGTTTACTGTCAAACTTTTGTTACTTCTTAAAGTCTGTGGTCAAATTGAGAATAGGTTAATATTGTTTATCTTTAACTAGCTGACCGGGCGAACTTTGTACCGCCTTAGAGGCAATAAATGAGCAGAACTTTGTTTTATCAAGATCAATTTTTTTATTTGGACAATTAATGTAAATTAAAAAAGCAAGTATTTTAATGATTCTTTATTGGCCCTGTATTTTAGTTATTATTATTATTATTATTATATTTTCTTGTTCTTCTTCAGTCCTTTCACTCGCAACGTTTCGAATCCTAGCTGCATTACGGCTTCGTCGGGAAAGATTTGATCGTGTTGGTCGCGGCATGGCTTTATTAATGATTACCTATGTCTGTACAATATTATTTGTCTATAGTGTCTATAGTCTTGGTGAAATCTGTGATTATAGAAGTTTAATAGTCTTTGACAACAGATCCATAATATGTTCCAAACTGATAATTTCAATTAATTAAAGTCGAATTTCGACTAATGCGGGACCACTAGTTTTTATTAAATGCTTAAATTGTAAATGGCTCTCTTGTGAAGTTTCAAAAATGTAGTTTAAACCTCTCCCTTAGCCCCCTTAGCCTCTCACCCCTCTCGACATGTTGATTCAAACTTAACAATAAAATGTGTATGTATACAATAAATAGTGTATGGGTAATTATTGTTATTCTTAAACTAATACCCCGTCATTGATTGACCACAGAGAACTGCTCCAATCTCGTGTTTACATATTTCAACTTAATATCGTCGCTGTCAAACCAAAATCTCTGCTATGTGCAAAAATTCTATTTTGAATTAACGAGTAAAAACATTTTCATATAAAATTTTATATGAAGGTGAATTTGTAAGAACTGTATCAAATAAAAGCTATAGATAAATAACAAAAAAAGGTCCGTGTACTTATGTACGCGCGTAAGAAGTTATACTTTATTTTTATAATTTTTTTTAATATTACGTAATTAATATTTAACGTTAATAATTTCATAATATTTAGTATGAATTATATTAAATAATAATTGTCATTTATATTACTAAAAACTGAATGCTAATAACACTTTTTTTACGAGTGTACATGCGCGAAAGTTCACCTGCGGCTATATTCAGACTCGCCAAGTTACGTCGGTCGTATTGTAATGAGCGATTTAGTGGGCAACTTCATTCTGTTAATTTCGTGTCACGGTGCGCGCGCATCGAAAAATTTCACTCTCATCAATTTTTCATAACGCGCCTAAAGAAGTATAACTTCAATATTAAAGCTATAGATAGACACACAACAGGTTTTTTTTATACGGTAGATAGATAGGGCTGTGAACTATACGAAAAGGTCAAAAATGAAAAATCTCAAAAAGTGCACATAGCAGATTTTGGTTTGACAAAACGACGATATGACAAAGAGACTGATTCCATTGTGTTTTTATAATGTTGACGTCAGCGTCCCTAACGCCATTCTGTTCATCATTGCCTTCCGTAGTGACAGTAATTAAAACTTACGATTCCAAACAATTCCTTTTATTAAATATCAAGTGTAGAACTTTTTTTTTTATTGCTTAGACGGGTGGTCGAGCTCACAGCCCACCTGGTGTTAAGTGGTTACTGGAGCCCATGGACATCCACAACGTAAATGCGCCACCCACCTAGAGATATAAGTTCTAAGGTCTCACGTATAGTTACAACGGCTGCCCCACCCTTCAAACCGAAACGCATTACTGCTTCACGGCAGAAATAGGCAGGGTTGTGGTACCTACCCGCGTGGACTCACAAGAGGTCCTACCACTAGTAACTCGGCTCGGAGGCCTTTCCAGTTTCACCAGGACAGGGGGGCAAGCAAAGGCTCAGCCAGGAGGGGTGGGATTAGCTAACAGCTGCCCGTGCGCCTCCAAAAGAGACCTAACAACTCAAGGGCAGCTGCTTCGCGAATGAATCTACTACCGGATCGGAATCGCGACCCGCTAAGAAGAACCGGCGAGAAACTCAGCGGGCTGATGTATGAGTTAGGTTGCACGTCGACCTCCTTGTCGAGTTCGACGAGTACGGTTACCGGGGGAATGAATTTTTCATCCATCGAACGTATCTTTAATTCGAATTCCCTAATAACATAATTCACTTTCTAACCCACTAAAAGAAACTACTTTTTTTTAACTACCGCCACCACTAAAAGACTTGTATTTCTAGAAAGTAGGGTAGATGTAAGGAGCGCCATCTTGTATAGGGGACAAGTTGAAAAGTATCTACCTGTAAACAGCAAGAAAGAAAGAAAGAAAGTGTTTCTTTCCTTCTTAATTTAGGAGCCTACGCTTTAAAGTTTATGGCGCTTTTTTTAAATTTTTTCCACTATTGCTACTATGTGTCATCATTCTGCTGCCCTTCCCCAGTCACCTGGGGTCGGCGCAACACGTTTTTTCCTTCCATACTCCTCTATCATATACCATTGCTTCGCTCACTCCCATCTGACACGTATATATCGGATAAAATTTTATGAATTTTAGGCTGTATGCTCTGCTCTTATTTATAGTGTAACGCCAGATGGCGCCATTTTTGTACATCCTTCCATCTTGCCATCTTGTATGCGGTGTGTAAACGTGTGTGAATTAATTTATAAAAATAAAACGTATAGTTCAAAGAATTCTTGTTTATCAACATAATCTCAATAATATAGTGTTTCACGCAATTCATCCATTATTGCTACTATGGTATTTCATATAATTATTGTACTATGGCGCCACCTTGATTGACTCCCTTCAGGGGACACTTTTAATACTTTGAAATGGCGCTCCTTACTTCCCTTCCATACAGAAAACGGACAAAAAAGAGGGTAGACTGATTTGGCTGCTCCTAACAATTTTAATTATTATCATAGTCTATACTTATTTAAAATCTTATGAATTATACACGTTTTTTTAAAAAGATATTATTAATAATACAACTTTTAGAAAACACTATATAAAAATAGATTGCCGCTGATGGCGGTGTCTACGATACAAGCCACCAGTGGTTAGGACTCCAGAGTGTAAAACTTCCTTACAATACGCGCAGTATCGAGGATAATTGCCTTCTGCATTAGACCCGTAACCTAATAATAATTATTATTAAATACCCTCCAAACTCTATAATTGCACAATCGAAAATCGGTACATGCGAATGCGAAGAGCCAAGCTTATACCCCTTGTCCATTCCCAAAGATTGACTCGTCGAATTAAAACCGAAATCTCCACTACGACTGGGTACCATTATATCAACAAAACACAATGCGAGCTCAACATCACAATTTTGCTTTGCTGCTTAGTCCTTCGGCTCCGTACAACAGATACAGGGCCATGTAGAAGGCTACATTCCTAGGCCAAGTCACGTGGACGTTGTGATCGCCCGGAACGCTCCGGACCCTGACGTTCCTCGAAGGATACGTCTTCTCGTCCAAGAGGAAGCCGGTGTTCCGATATAGGCCGTTCTTGTATGAGTTCTCCGCTTTTATTATCAACGTCTGTGTATCGGTGGAGCCGAATAAGGTCTTCATGTGCTCCGCCGAGAATGCGGGCGTAGTCACGTATTTGAGACGCATGTCGTCTGTGTATCTGCGAATGGGATTTGTTGGAACGCTCAGCCAGAGTCGTTTGTCTTGGCGGATTGTCGATGGTAAAGGATGGCCGGTGCGTTCGTATGGAAGGGATGCGACTGTATTAGCCATTCGAATCCCGCAGATGGGTACCAATTTTTTTTATTATAATAATGAACACGTGCTCAACTCGTTGAAGATGATACTCAAGTTTCGTACGAACCAATTCAGGGCGAACAAACAAACATTCATTTTGGAAGCGTCTTTTCACTATTGGTTAAGCGGATGGAAGACCTAACAGCCCCACAGGTGTTAAGTGGTTCCGTCACAACATGAATACCACCACCGACTATTAGACATGAGGTTGAAGTCTCAATTGAACTAAAAACCAGGTATCCCACCCCCTACAACGGAACGTATGGTAATTTCGCGGCAGAAATAGGCAGGATGATTTTGCCTATACGTGCGGACTTACATCTTTTGTTTTTTTATTGCCTTTGTAGGCAGACGAGCGTACGGCCCACCTGATGGTAAGTGGTTACCGTCGCCCATGGACTTCAGCAATGCCAGGAGCAAAGCTAAGCCGCTGCCTACCGCTTAATACTCTTCACAAGCCTCGTTTGAAGAAGGACATGTCATAGCGCTCGGGAAGCACCGTGCATTTACATGCCATTAATACGAAAAACGGTGGGGTAGTGGTATAAACGTGCCCAGTGGGACAATGCTGCTCATTTCTGGTGATCGGATCTGGGAGTTTTCAGTGGTCTTACCTAAGGAGTCCATCACCGGCGGGTTCAGCTGATCGCTTCAAGGCTTCCACTGCCAAATCTTCGGAGAAGCCTCGTTCTTTTCTTAGAACCGCTATTGCCTATTAAATATTAGGCAAAGTCGTTTACAGATTGTAGACATTACAACGTGGATGTCGGAATTCGATTTGCGACATGAGATCTAAGTCATAATTGCTCTCAACCTTAGCCTCCATTATTTAGGGCTGCAGGTTGAGTATGCAAGGGTTGAAGCCATCAAAAGGATGGTGATTATGGTGTAATCATTAAAATACGCGCTGCCTACAGTACGTATATATGACGACTGTTCTATCATGCTTTAGAAAGTCACAGAAGACCATATTTGTTTTTTATATTATATGATTTGATAGACGCCGTGTTGAAGATTGTATACAAAGTTTCTACGAGAGGTGATCGCTGACCACGGTCATCGGCAATGTTAACGCATTAAGCTTAAGAGATGACGAACACCAAATAAAAATATCAAAGGACCTCTTGTGAGTCCGCGCGGGTAGGTACCGCCACCCTGCCTATTTCTGCCGTGAAGCAGTAATGCGTTTCGGTTTGAAGGGTGGGGCAGCCGTTGTAACTATACGTGAGACCTTAGAACTTATATCTCTAGGTGGGTGGTGCATTTACGTTGTGGATGTCTATGGGCTCCAGTAACCAAGTACACCAGGTGGGCTGTGAGCTCGTACGCCCATCTAAGCAATAAATAAAAAAAAGGTAGATTTGAGGGGTTGTCCCATGTCAATCCTGGGGAATACAAAATATATGATACATGGGAATCTATAATTTTCTACAGTGTGTAGCTTTCTCAAAACTGTGTGCTTAGTGCGAGTTTTTTAACGTTCTCGATAGCGTAAAAGTTAACTCAAATTTGTATGGAGTTGGAACGTTTGCGTACGTTTGCCGCTAGGGGCGCTGTTTCAACTCTGAAAACTCGCACTAAACACGCTGTAATAACTTTTCGTGGCAGAGAAATAAATACATTCTCACTCACCTCCTTAACTGTCGTCACCTTTCCTTTGCCTTTAGGAGCGTTCAATTTATCATATTGCTCATAATAATCTACAAAATGTCTCTTGTACCTAAAAAACGAAAGGTAATTAACTATCTATCTATAAATTGTTATTTAAGCATTTATTAGAACCAGTGGTCCCCCAGTAGTCGAAATTCGACTATAATTAATTGAAATTATAAGTTTATTTTACTTTTTCTTAGTTTACTGGTGGTAGGACCTCTTGTGAGTCCGCGCGGGTAGGTAACACCACCCTGCCCATTTCTGCCGTGAAGCAGTAATGCGTTTCGGTTTGAAGGGTGGGGCAGCCGTTGTGGCTATACTTGAGATCTTAGAACTTATATCTCAAAGTGGGTGGCGCATTTACGTTGTAGATGTCTATGGGCTCTAGTAACCACTTAACACCAGGTAGGCTGTGAGCTCGTCCACGCATCTAAGCAATAAAATATAAAAAAGATATATTTATTTATTTACTATATTTTTTACACACAGCTGCTAGAAGAAACACGACAATAAGGATACAGTGTACAAGGGCATTACTTATTTCATGTTGAAATCTCTTCCAGTAGACCCGCAGAAGGAGAGAAGAATTGTTGAGAGAGAATTGAAGAGTTTGCACAAAATTATGGTTCTATTGTCAAAGACTATTTAAAACTTCTATTATCAAAGATTTCGCCAATACTACACTATAGACAAATAATATTAAAGACAAACAATATTAATCTATTCTCAATTCGACCACAGACTTTAACAATAAACAAAAAGTATATATGCATGTGTATGTGTCAAATCATGGTAGGGTGTGTAATGTTTTTTTTAATGGATTTAATGTATTTTTGTAACTATACTGAAACCTTAGAACTCATGTCTCAAGGTGGGTGGCGGAATTTACGTTGTAGATGTCCATGGACTCCGGTAACCACCGGTAACACCTGGTGAGCTGTGAAGCTCCCAACTAAGCAATAAATAAATAAAAACCTCATACTGCAAGATTAGCATTTTTAATCTCAAACTCGAATCTTAAAGGCTTACCATTTAGGAAATTTCTCCGGCGGAACAGCGTAGAAATTAATTGGATCTATTTCGATGAGTTTCGTCAGCTTTCCGGGGTAGACGAGATTATATAATTTACCTGGACGTTAATGAAAAAAAAAAATAGAATGTCATCTCAGAATTGCACGGGCTGCGTGGGCAAGGTTCCCTTTGCCGGAAAAGCAAAGAAATATCAGGCGGCCGATTCTCAAGCGTGTTTCGTGTGCCGCCAGATTTTACATTCAAAATTATCATCATACAATAATAGTCCCTGTAAAATATTACATGGGCGCGCGAACCGTTCTCCCAATTACCACAGATAATGCAAATCACAATCATTAAATTTAATCACATTAAAAAATTCAGACTTTTTGGCGGGAACGCGAGGAGTGACGTTGTGTGTTTGTTTTATTTTGTCTATTTAGTGTTTCTTCAGGTTTAAATGTGCAATAACGGTGGTTTATTAATTGTTTAATATCTGTGAAAGTGCACAGATGTGGAAAAACGAAACAAAACCGCTGGACGTAGCTTCTCGGGATCCTCTAAAAAGTCCACTAAAAAAACTCAGTAAATGACCACCATTTTACTGAGATTACATTTCATCCCAGTTGATTGATGTCTCAAATTAATCATCTTCATTTCATCTCATTTCACCCCATATTATCATTTTTCATAAAAATAAGAATATTTAAATTAAAATAAGACATGACTAAAAGGTCTTAGTAACCAGCTCATAAAATCTCTTAAAGAAAAAATCCCAACTACCACAGATAATGCAAATGACAGTCATTAAATTTAATCACATTCAATCATTCGTTCGTAGTGAAAGTCATTCGTTAACAAGTCGCTTCATTGTTCGATCCTAGAAGACCATCAGTTTTGGTCGTAGCCAACCACTTCTCCATCACCGACCATTCGGTTTTGGGAGGGCTCCGAAGCTACCAGTGTGCTTAATGCGAGTTTTTTAACGTTCTCGATAGCGTAAAAGTTAGCTCATATTTGTATGGGAACGTTTCCGTACGTTTGCCGCTAGGGGCGCTGTTCTAACTGCAAACAAAATTGAGTTAACTTTTACGCTATCGAGAACGTTAAGAAACTCGCACTAAGCACACTGATACATTAAGGACAAACTTACCGATGATGGCGCCGAGCGAATGGCCGACCAGATTAAAAGCGTCCCAACGAAAATGCTTCGCGACCGCGTTCACTGCGTAAACCAGATCGTATATGTTGATCATCAGGCCCGGCGGGAACCGGTCCGACTTGCCGCAGCCCGGGAGGTCTATGCCTGTAGAGTGTTAAAAAAAAACAAAAAAAAAATTAAAACTCCGCCATTTCACTAAGACCGACGTGACGTCATTTGAAGCTAAATTTAACTAACTAACTGTTAAGATTCCGCGATACAGAAATGCTCTACGTCAATGAAAGTTGGAATTATTTTAACAAAAATAATAACGGAATAACGACGAAGTGAATATCTTCCACCGGGCGAGTGACATTGCATTTTTTTCTCTACCTATTCTAGTGACCTCGAGGGTCACACTAGATTCACTGAGCGAGTAGGTGAGCTCACGGGGCTCTAACCTGAAGACGTTGCTAACACTAGTCCTAGCAAGAGCAGTGCTTCGCAGAATCTACCAACGGATTGGAAACGCGACCCAAGAAGATCCGGCGAGAAACTCAGTGGGCTGTGTCTATGAGGTAATTTACTCATCGAGCCCTTTGTCGCAAGCGACGGGTTCGGCGAGGACGGTGAATTCAATGAATGTTTAAAAGCATACTTTTCGTCTTTTCATTTATTTGTTCATGTATATAAAAATATAAAATCAAATATGCAATAGAAAATTTCACTATATCCCATGATCATTTAGTGGTTACCAATGAATGTTTTACCTATAAAATAAAATTTCTCGGGCATCAATTTGATTAGAGGGCGGAAGCTGGTCGCGGAGTCTGCTAGGCCATGGCAGAGCAGAACCGGGGGATTGCAGCAATCGCCCCAAGCCACCACTGGAAAGAAAATGTTATCAGGAATCAATTTATTGTTAGACAGGACTTAGATAAGCCTTTCTTTCATGGAAAATTATCTGATTTCCGCTATTAAGATAGGTGAGACTTGTTCATTGTGTCACATTAATCCACTAATACAGTTCTTACAGTAACTTGAATCATACAATATTTTTTTCTTTTTGAAATAAATATTTGTCTTTGATAGCAACTTTTATTTGGAATATGTAGTTTTATTTTTTATTATTTATTTTTCTTAATTACTGGCTTTAGGGTATATTGTAAATTCATATCAGTGGGTACCAACATTCAGGCGTCAGAGAATTATAGGTTGCTCAAAGGCAGTTTTAGTTTAAAAGGGCAGATGGGTAAGCTCTGGCTAATCCAGAAGGGCTGGGATTCGCTAATAGCTGCCCGAGCACCTTCTAAACGGACCTATCGGCTAAAAGTTAGCTGCTTCGGAAATGAATACTCAACCATTTATTGTCCATGACCCAATTCAATCACTTTTACGCAATGATACAATAATTATTCTACACGTGCATGTCTTGTATACTATGGGAGTTCTGTATTTATACAGTTGGTAGCAGTCAATGGATGGCCTTAGTGCCTATACATAGAGGGTTAATTAAAAATAGTAGGTTAATTGTTAAGTTAATTAAAATGGCATTACAATATAGTACAGAACACCTTATTTATATAGCATTTAGGAAAGTAATGAAAATGTTTAGACAAAATAAATGTTATAACTTATAACAATAGTACAATGGGCGGACTTATCTATGAAAGTTATTTCTTCCAGTCATTCTGTGAATGGAGATGATTATGGTGAGGTTCGTAAAATATAAACATAATCAAAACTGTTTTTAAAGTATAATCTTGGGTTTATAATTTTAAATTAATTATTAATAACATTTTGAATATTGTTCTGTTTAAATTCGGTTTCACTTCCAGACAAATTTAGTTAATAATGTAAGGGAACATATTTCAATAAAATTAAATATTATTTATTAATATTTAGACGATATTAAAATTAGAATACAAATCACACAAAACAATATTTATTTATTTTAGATTGAAGTAATTAATACGAAAATTTCAAGGTTTTCCTTTCGAATATATTTTGCATTGTTAAATAATGTTTAGATAAGTAATTTTGATATTAATCTTATCAAATGTTTGACTCTGAAAGTGGCAGATGAGATAAGTTTACCTGTGCCGATATAGCGCATCAAAAAAAAAAGATAATTCATTATCTTATACATACATTATCAAAACTGTTAGATAAATGTAAGGACAAAGTTCATTAAATACGATTTAACTCGAATGTATTTGTATGGAGCGTTTAAACTATTAAAAGATTCACTCACCGCACATCCGGCCCCAAGGAACCTGTATGTACCATTCTTTTTCTAATAAACTCATTTCGAAAATAAATTTTTAAAAACTTTACAAACTTCTATGTGTATTAAGTACTTTTGACAATTAAATTAGGTTAAATTCGTATCACAGATAATTTTATATTTTAATTTACTGTAGTCACGTTTTAAAAATTTATCGAAGTTGTAATTATGTTAATTTCTGTCTGTATGTAACGAAAAAAATAAAAAAAAATGTATAAAAGGTGTGTAAAGAGTTTACATCGCAAGTGACGTGAGGCAACTGAACGTAGTGATGAGGGTAGTGCTGAAAGTTTTTTTGATAAGCTTAAAATGAAATCGATTTCATTGTAATCAGGATTACTGGTTATCGCCTGTTTGTTGACTAGTGTGAATGACAAATACGCGGTTTCACCTATTTCATAAATTTAACTAAAAATAATTGATTGTCTGTAAATTCGTCTTCCGTAATTTACTTAATATCATCAGTAGCAGAACTATTCGAACTTCTAGCTCTGACGTCATGCGAGAACAGAGATAAATGTGTCACAAGCCAATGCTTGGGCCGATCGCGACTTTCTATTGCTTGTTCCGCGCTCTTGCTTTCACGCTCAGGCTCAGTTGGAATGTGACACATTCTCGTGCGTGCAGCCGATATTCATCGATTTATAAGACGTTATCACGACAAAAGGACGCGTTTCATGACGACTCCAAATAGGTTTCAGCATGTAGTTAGCAAATAGGATTTTAAAATTCTCATTAATGTACTTTAGAGCTTTAATTCAAAATTTAAATCTTAAATCGTTCAGATCGACCGTTTGCGAAATACTAATATATTAATAATCTATAGTGGATTTATCAATATCTTGAAAAGTAATTCGATCTTCTGTTTTTTTAGCTTATAAATTTATATATTATGTCGAGAGACAATTATTTCGATTTTAAATTGTATCGATTTCAGATTGTTCAATATCTTTAGCATCCCTATGAAGTAGATATTGTGTAATCTAACTCTACCGGAATACTTGTGTATAACATCCATAGATGTTACACGTATAGGTAACATATATCCATTCGTCCAAAAGTCCATACACTTAATATTTAATAATAACACCTGCGTTGCCTTTCAAACTGGAAAGCATTACTGCCGCAGAAGGACGATAGGAGAAGAGGTATCCACAACCGTACAGCTTACAATACACCGATTCTTAATTTCCCGTACGACACTGCAAAAGAGCAATCTTGTGAAGATTTATGTTTTATTTACCTTCTTTTTTTTTCTACCTATGCTGATAGCCTTGAGAGGCCATTTCAGCGCAACCTTAACTGACTCGATAAAGTAAGTCGCCGTGGCCTAAAGGATAAAACGTCCGGTGCATTCGTATCTAGCGATGCACCGGTGTTCGGATCCCGCAGACGGGTACCAATTTTTCTAATGAAATACGTACTTAAAAAATGTTCACGATTGACTTCCACGGTGAAAGAATAATATCGTATAGTAAAAATCAAACCCGCAAAATTATATTTTCCGTAATTACTGGTGGTAGGACCTCTTGTGAGTTCGCATGGGTAGGTACCACCGCCCTGCCTTATGCCTTTATGAAAAATGATAATATGGAGTGAAATGAAATGAGATGAGATGATATGGGATGAAATATAATCTCAGTAAAATGGTGGTCATTTACTGAGATTTTTTCAGTCGACTTTTTGGAGGATCGCGAGAAGTTACGTCCAGCGGCTTTGTTTCATTTTCTCAGATTTGTGGACTTTCACAGATACTAAACAGTTAATAAACCATCATTATTACACATTTAAACCTGACGAAACACTAAATAGACAAAATAAGACAAATCACACAACTTCACTCCTCGCGTTCCCGCCAAAAAGTCCCCAAGCAGTATTTCAAACAGTTGAAACGCAAAAATTGTAGAATTATGACAGAACCGGAGTTGCCATACTGACTTTTTATTCCGGCCTATATTTCATTAGTCTTTTCAATCGTGTCACTCTTGACTGAGTGGTTACATCGTCAAGTCGTGATCGTCATATTGTAAGGGGCACGTTTGAGGCCATCCCACAGCACTCATTTAGGAGTAGTTTTAATTAGGTTGGTCCACGACATTGACGACCTCCCACACGGTCTTTAAATTTAATTATTCTTCCCCTTATTACAAATGATATAGGGTTAAGTTTTACGAGGAGGCCTGATTTGAATTTTCCTCGGGATTGATGTCGTTGTCATAAGAGGATAGCTAGGTAAAGTTCCTCACTTGGTCCAGTTATAAGTCGGGAACTGCACGTCCCAAAAACAAAATTTTTATTTTTATTTCTTATATGGGTGGACGACCTCACAACCCACCTGGTGTTAAGTGGTTACTGGAGCCCATAGGTGTCTAATAACGACGTAAATGCGCCACCCACCTTGAGATATAAGTTCTAAGGTCTCAAGTATAGTTACAACGGCTGCCCCACCCTTCAAACCGAAACGCATTACTGCTTTACGGCAGAAATAGACAGGGTGGTGGTACCTACCCACGCGGACTCACCAGAGGTCCTACCGCCAGTAATTACCCATCATATCCCTTATTGTCTTTGCATTTTTACTTTTTGAGTCAATTTTTAACGTTCGCGATTAACGCATCTGACATCCGTCATTATGACAGTTCTACTTTTTTTTCCCGCTAAAATTGATAGATAATACAAATTTTAATTCTGTTCCAGAATTGGAAAGCGCGCAATGGCATGTTTAAATGAAAACGAGATTTGTGTTAAAGCCCCGTGGGGTAACATCAGAGGTGGGTAAAAAAATTCGTGTTCACATAGTCACTTAGATTTCCGACCTTTGTTTAGACTTTTGGTTTGTTATAATAGCCGGCAAACTTCTTGAGCATTTGTTGACGTAGTGGGGGTAAGTTCGCGCATGGTACACTCACGTGCAAAAACATTACTTACTCTGCGTCATAATGCTATTAAATTATAAAAAAAAACACATATGTATTTATTTATATATTTATTAGAACATCAACAAAACATATAGGTTAATAATTGTAATAATTTAATCTTGGGGTAAAATAGATATTCCTTCTATTAAGTCAAAACTAGAGCTGTTGCCAGGTCTTGGTTCAGTTGAAGCGAAGCTGGTATTTGTATTTTTTTTTTCGTTATCATAATCTTGACCATCATCATCATCACTGTTTTCATCACCCGAGTCGCTATCATCGTGATGAATCGACATAGGGCTCATCGGTGTAGTTTACAACTCGGTCGGTTCGGTCTTCTTTTTTGTCTATAATTAATTTTTTTTGAAGATATTCGATTGGTAGTAATCGAATGTTACTTTTTCAATTACCAGCTTCCGATTATTTTCTGGTTTTTTTTTCCATCTGAAGCCTAGCTCTTTCATAATTCGTCGTAAGCTTCATTCCGAGCCATTAAAATTTATATCTTCTTTAAATTTTTCGAAGCCTTTCTACGGTACGGAGTTTCGCTGCTTGTTATGTAGTTATTATGATTACATCTTTTTATTACAGATTGAACGAAACTATCCGTTCCGGTAACTTTCTTCTTCCCTGATCTTTTCTTACCCGGAGTCCCAAGCACGATGAGCAAGCCAGAGCCTTTAGCTTCGTTAATAATGCACCTAACAGTACTCACTGATGTTTTTGTTGCTTCCGAAGTCTGTTTTACTTTTTCCATAATATCATTCTTCCCCTGTTTTATAATGAAGCAATATACGTCGTACACAATTTTTCTACCCTTTCTTTTGAATACTACACCAGTTTGTCGCGGCATAGTGTATTTTTTATAAAAAATCAACAAACACTCAACAAATAGCAATGGCAACAAAGTCAACAAGCAATTATAACAAATAACTTAACGATTAATAACGATATACTTTTCACTGTACGCAAGCGTACTTTTGGGAGCAAGCGGAATGAGGGCGCGGTGCGGGGCGCAAGGTTCGACTGATCTACCAATAACGCGCTCGATACGATTTCCCCTGCCGTCGCGCCTCACCCTCACCACCAAAGTGATCTAAAATTCGGTTCTGCGCAGTCAAGGTCATTTGCTCAAGAAGTTTGCCGGTTACTATATTATTTATTACCACATTAGCGGGAAATTTGCACTCAGAAATAAATAAGTCGATCACGCAATTTTTTAAACAGTTATATTTTGTTATGTTTTGATAGTATATCGTTGGTATAATTTAAAGATCTTACCGGAGTCCTATCTTTAAATCGCAGAGCACAGGCAGTTACGAAATAATATACTAACACACTTTTATGAATTAGAATTAATTACGCTGATGTTTTAGATTATTTTTTTTAACGAAATCACAGTTTTGTTATTTTGTTTTACTTCACGAACCGACAGATGTTTTTTTCACCAGTCAGGACACCTATTGTCACTGTCTATGTTTTCTTTTTTTTTTAAAGAGGTTTCTATATTTATCAACTCCAACAATGGTCTATACTATATTACTATATTACTATTATTACTATTATTTTATTATATTATTATTAATATTATAAAGAGGAAATATTTCTTTGTTTGTTTGTATTGAATAGGCTCAGAAACTACTGAACCGATTTGAAAAATTATTTCACTGTTTGAAAGCTACACTATTCCCGAGTGACATAGGCTATAATCTTTTGAAAAAAATTAAGGATCCTTACTAAAACTCCCGTAATGTAACCCAAGGTGTAAAAAGATTACCTAAAATATTCTTTACATCGCGTGCCCGGCGAAAACTATTGATGATAGAATAAAATGCTGTACTATGACTTTGTAGACCACATTTACAAAAAGTGTCACGACAGCATATGTCTAACTATAGTTAGGTATATCTAGGAGTGGGTAATATCGGTCCTTGGCTGAGCCTTTGCTCGCCCACCTGTCCTGGTGAAACTGGAAAGGCCTTCGGGCTACCAGTAAACTTTCAATCATAAAAAAAAAAAAAAAAAAAAAAAAAAATAATATCGGTTTTGCCGCGTATCGAATCGTATCTATATATCGAGTATCGATATCGGATATTGAATCTATATATTTTCTGAATCTATATATTGATGGATGCTAGTAGATTTTCTCGATTCATGATATTTGAGATTTGAAACGATACGATGATATAGTATTGTAGTAGATATAGATTCAAGTCAACGTTATACGGTTGGTTTTCTGATATCAATTTATAATAATAATATGATTTTAAAGTAATAAAAAGAACATGAAAATAAAAATATCAAAAAAACTTTCCTTCATGCTTTTACCAGGCTTAGGACCGGCTACATTATTTTCAGTTTTTAGTATTTTGTGTCTTAATTTAAAATTACAAAATATACCAAAAGAGTGTAGATTAGGTAGAATATTTCATAATACTAAATACATATATTTTAGGTAACATTCGCGATTTCGTTCGCGCCTAAGGTACCTAACGTGAGTATTGCCTAGATGAAGTCTCGAGAAAATATCGGAGACGTATTTAGAAGTTCATTTGATAATATTTATACATCATACACTACAAAATTAATTCAGAAATTTTATTATTTACTAAGTTTATGTTAAAATAAAAGTTTCTAAACTTTCAAAAGTTTAATACAAACACAACAAATAAACTCAATTATTTGGATTTAACTAAAAATAGAAAAATGTGTACTTTAAAAATCAAATACAAAAAACTTTTAAGTATTTATAAACACTTATCCAAAAATTTTAGTTCAAGGTCAAAGCGCGTGAAATTAAATTCAACGGTGCAAATAGGCTATACTGCATTCTAATTAGGGTCGAAAGTTGAAACTTTTTTCCTAAATTGTATCCTGCTGATACACTAAGAATAATCTACAGACGTATGGACTTAAATATAAGGTTTATAATTGTATGGATAATGCCTGTTTCTGTTTCATTCATCATATGTGAGTGAGCGCACGATAGGGATATCGTCCGCTCACTCACTCTGGCCGATTCGATACGAACCAAACGAATATTGCTGATATTCACGAATCGGTACGATACGCCGATGCGCATCACATCGAGCAATATCGTGTATCGGCTGATATCGTTATATAGATTTCGATTCACGAATCGGTACGATATGCCGATGCGCATCACATCGAGCAATATCGTGTATCGGCTGATATCGATATATAGATTTCGTGCGGGGCGATATCGGATTCAACGATATTGCTGCGATATATAGATATTGAATCTATATACGATTTATATCACCCACTCCTAGGTATATCCCAATAAGTGTTCTTTTATTTAAAAAAATAAAACAACGTCAAATAGGTATCGTTGAAATTTTTGTTAAAGCCCCGAGCGGAGCCGGAGCGGGCCGCTAGTTTATTATAAAATTACCAAGAAACCTACCCTAATCCTAAAACCTAAACCACCTAAAGCCTACCTTCGTTTTCTCCGCCCTGCAGCGCCTCTAGCGGCAAACATAGACAAACGTTCCAACGCCATACAAATTTGAGTTAACTTTTACGCTATCGAGAACGTTAAAAAACTCGCATTAAGCACACAGTTTCACAGAGAAAGCTACACACTGTAGAAAATTACAGATTCCTACTGTATCATATATTTTGTATTTCCCAGGATTGACATGGGGTAACCCTTCGAATCCACCAGTACTGCTATGCCACGGGAAGCTGGACGCTAGTTCAGGGTTCAGACCGCTAGTTTCCCTCCTGCCGGATTCGTTCTATTACGTGGCCATAGACTTACCCGGCAATGGCAGATCAGATCACCTGCCCCCAGGCGTCAGATATACCGTGATAGATCTCGTACCGGCCGTAATAAAAGTGCGGGAGCATTTCAAATGGGACAAATTCATTTATATCGGCCATTCTCTCGGAGTACCTATTGGTAAGGAAAAATTTTTTTTTTTTTTCATTGCTTACATGAGTGGACGAGCTCACAGCCCACCTGGTGTTAAGTGGTTACTGGAGCCTATAGACATCTACAACGTAAACGCGCAACCTTTCTTCAATTTATTTTTTATATATTGAATTGTCATCGGTCCTTAATAAGTATGCCAAATTTCGAGTTAACCTGACGTTTTGAAAAGGGTCAAAATCATGTTCAAAGATTCCGTTACATACTAACATACATACGTCTGAAGCTAATAAAAGCGTATTAAAAATTGGGACTATTCGTCGAAGATCGAGGGAAAGAGACCGTGCGGGCGCAGTCCGACAAGGTGGTACGATCAAACTCTCTTTTTTTTCTTTTCTACCTAAGCTGATAGCCTTGAGAGGCTATTTCAGCGTAACCTTAACTAGTAGGTGAGCTCACGGGGCTCAAACCTAGCAAGAACAGTGCTTCGCAAATATTGATGGTAGGACCTCTTGTGAGTCCGCGCGGGTGGGTACCACTACCCTATTTCTGCCGTGAAGCAGTAATGCGTTTCGGTTTGAAGGGTGGGGCAGCTGTTGTAACAATACTTGAGACCTTAGAACTTATATCTCAAGGTGGGTGGCGCATTTACGTTCTAGATGTATATGGGCTCCAGTAACCACTTAACACCGGGTCGGCTGTGAGCTCGTCCCAAATGGATAAGCAATAAAAAAAAAAAAATCTACCACCGGATCGGAAACGCGACCCACTGAGAAGATCCGGCGAGAAACTCAGTGGGCTGTGTCCGAGGGTTAATTTACTCGTCGAGCCCTTCGTCGCAAGCGACGGGTTCGACCTGCATTTATACACAACGCAGGGCATTCAATATCAAGCCAAGATTTAATGCATACCTATTCACTAACATTCTTATTAATTTCTAGGTAAATTCTTCAACATAGCCCACCCGGGGTACGTTACGCGGATGGTGGAGGTGGACCCGGTGCCGGCCCATCACACTTGGCCCACCACGAGGCAGGGCATGAGGAAGTGGTTTCACGACTACTACGGCTTCTACGAAGAGAAGAAGTACGCGAAGTTCAACGGCGGACCGGAAACGGCTCCCAGTTACAGCTACGAAAAGGTGGGAACTTTATTGGGGAAACCTTTTTGTTATTTAATACGCTTTTATTAGCTTTTTTTATTTATTTTATTGCTTAAATGGGTGGACGAGCTCACAGCCCGCCTGGTGTTAAGTGGTTACTGGAGCCCATAGACATCTAGAACGTAAATGCGCCACCCACCTTGAGATATAAGTTCTAAGGTCTCATGTATAGTTACAACGGCTGCCCCATCCTTCAAACCGAAACGTATTACTGCTTCACGGTAGAAATAGGCAGCTAGAAATAGCTTCAGACGTATGTATGTTAGTATGTAACGGAATCTTTGAACATGATTTTGACCCCCTTCAAAACGTTGGATTAACTCGAAATTTGGCATACTTATTAAGGACCGATGACAATTCAATATTAAAAAAAAAATGGATAAAAAAATTGAATATGTATATGTATGTATATTGAAAAAATTGAAATTCAACTAAAAAATGAAAAATAAATAATAGTTAAAAAAAACTAAAAACATACCGTTTATAGAAAATCCAACTAAAAAATAGAAAATAAATTTTAATATATTTTAATTAAAAACACTGTAAGAAAAAATGATTTTGTTTTAAAAAAAGCGTGAGGTGCTTTTCAGGATATTATCAAAATAACCCTTCTACTCATATCTACCTGTTCATAAAATATTTATAACTATACTGATACCATGCACCCCACGCTTTTTTACAATAAAATCCTTTTTTCTTACACTATTATTAATTCAAATTCATTAAAATTTATTTTCTATTTTTTAGTTTGCATTTTCTATAAAAGTGTTTTTTTTTTGTTTTTTTTAATATTATTTATTTTACATACTTCTAGGGATCCTCCAAAAAGTCCACTGAGGAAGTCTCAGTAAATGACCACCATTTTACTGAGATTATATTTCATTTCATGCTATGTTTCATAATATTAATGAACTTCATTTCATTTTACTTCATATATCATTTACAGAGTTAATTACTTTAATAATGAAATTACTATCTCAATCTAATTTATTTATACCGTCCCACGCTGCTAATTTAATTTTTCCTTACACTAATATTAATAATGGCCAACAGTTTCTTACTTTTTTTTATTATTCATAAACTGTAAATAATTAAAACGGCGAATTATAAAAATCTAATTACTTGAGACTGGCTAATGCACAAACCGTGACGGAGACAACAAAATAAAGAAAATACACCACACATCCACACACACACACACATATTCACATAGATAAAAATATATAAACAAAAACCAAACAAGTTTCCACCGTTGGACTCATAAGACTGACAATAAACATATAACTGAAATAGATGTTTAAAAATTTGCATTAATAATTAATACAAAAATCGAAATCGACAGAATTAAAGAAGTGAAACATCAAGATTAGAGATAGATAGATTAAGTTAATTAAACGTGCATTATTATGGATAATTAAAAAACTACCGGTCGGATCTTGAGAAAAATGGGCTCCCCATGAACTTGACACGTAGTATAAAAAAAACGCTTTAAAATAAAAAAAATTAAGTCAAAAACGCTTCACACAGAAGAAATATACAGTCGACGAATTGGTCGACCAAAAAGGTAGGAAACAAATTTAAAAAAAAATACAATTAAGTAGGTACTGAAATCGGCCTGAACCGCCAAAAAAAAACTAATATTGCTTTTATATCTTGTCTAGATTACTTTATTTTGGACATATTGTTTGAAGTCTTGTGGGTGGCAAGGGAGGATTTTTTCACGGAAATCACTAGGAATTATGTATAACAATAACTCACTATACACATTTATTAACTGGAGACGATCTTTCTAGAAATACCTTGATACTTCGATTACGTACGCCATACATTCTACACTACGTATTTTGCGTTGTTCGAGGTAATAATATGGCTCTTTCAACAATCAGTCGATACCACTGGTTTATTGGTGGTGGGACCTCTTGTGAGTCCGCACGGGTAGGTACCACCACCACCCCACCTATTTCTGCCGTGAAGCAGTAATGCGTTTGGGTTTGAAGGATGGGACAGCCGTTGTAACTATACTGAGACCTTAGAACTTATATCTCAAGGTGGGTGGCGCATTTACGTTGTAGATGTCTATGGGCTCCAGTGACCACTTAACACCAGGTGGGCTGTGAGCTCGTCTACCCATCTAAGCAGTGAAAAAAAAACCAACGAAACCCTTCTTATGACTGAGTTTAATGAACTTGATGAAGTTTTTGTAGGATTTTGCAAATAAGCAGAACATAATTCAGGCTCGGTAGTGCAGTAGTTACTGCCCCTGATTGCAGAGCCAGGGGTTCGATTCCATACATTCGTGCTATGAACAGGTTTGTTCGGTCTTTGTCTGGGCAAGCGCCCATCATGATAAGCATCATCTATACAGGTGTATATTTAAATGTAAATATAAATATTTATATATTATCTCTATATTAATGTTTGGTCCATTATAGCATGTGGAATCCTAGTTTGCGACCAGCGGACTGTTAATTGATAATTATTTAAATTAATTTAGTGCTAATTGAACTGTAGGTATAACGACGGAAGGAAAGATCTTCCACCGAATGGGTGAAGTTGCTCAGTAGACCGACGATCCGAATGTTGTTGTTCGGAACTTGTATATATGAAGCTTATCTTGAAAATGTCGTAAGTGAGATTCAGGCATTTGTCAATATATTATTTTATTGTTCCTATCAATTCTAGTAGCCTCGAGGAGTTATTCTAGATACGCCGCGCTTGTAGGTGAGCTCACGGTGCTCAAACCTGTCGACGTTGCTAACACGAGCACCTAGCAAGTGCCGTGCTTCGCAGAATCTACCACCGGATCGGAAACGCGACCCACTGAGAAGATCCGGCGAGAAACTCAGTGGGCTGTGTCTGCGGGCTAATTTACTCGTCCAGTCTATGACCGGGATATCTTGTGTTATATGATGGCTATCGCCGCATAACTTTATTTCATTGCTTTAAATTTAGATTTAATCAATTTCAACAATTGCGTTTCCCGTCAGGCTCAAGAGCTGATGATGAAGGCGAGAAGTCTCAGTAAAGAGGCGTCCGCTCATGTACTCGAGAGGGTCCTTGTGCCTGCTGAGAATGGTCTTTACAGGTGAGCCGGTCACATCTACTATGAGAATTGAAGGTAGGAGTGTCATGTAAAGATATCAAACCGAAATAGAGACGAAGCTCTGAACAGCAAGTTATCATTCGATATGTTTATTTTTTGTTACAGCCCTTGTAGGCAGACGAGTATACGGCCCATCTGATGGTGAGTGGTTACCATCAGCTATGGACGTTAACAATGCTAGTTGCAGAGCCAAGCCGCTGTCTACCGTTATGTACTCTCCACAAGCCTCGTTTGAAGAAAGATATGTCATAGCGCTCGAGAAACACAGTGGAGGGGAGCTCATTCCAAAGCCGGATGGTTTTTAGAAAAAAAAACTTCTGGAAACGCACTGTAGATGAAAGCAGTGGTTCCAGGTAGTATGGATTTACTATAACAAAACCCTTACAAGTTATATTTTGCTTGATTACCAATCCTAGGCTATTTTATTTGGTTGAAGTACGTGAATGAAGTCACGGACACATGGTGTTGATTAGTGAAGACCTCAGCCATCACTCGCGTGAATGTCGTCGACCTTTTGAGACATGAGGTCTAAGTCTCAATTGTGTAACGTCTCAAGACTTACTGCTTCGCGGTAGTAATGGGCAGGGTGGTGGTACCTGCCTGGGCACGCTCACAAGATTCTACCACCAGTAATGTTGTATAGTCAGTGACCGCAGGACCACACACACACTTCCCTACTCCGTTGTTTTCAGATTCACGTATGACCAACGCATGAAAGAAGTTACTGTTTTACCATTCTCCGGAGAGCTCCTACAAAAGATCTACACGCCAACAACCACACCGACCTTCTGTGTGTTGGCTCAAGGAATGATTGATTATGGCGCCTACACGGAAGTTCCATTCGTTATGGACCCAACATGTTGGCCCAACATCGATTACAAGTATAAAATCGTTGAAGGTGGCCACGATGTACATATCGACAATCCTTCGTGCATGGCTGACGACATAGCCAAGTTCATTTTAGAAGAATTCAAATCGAAATTGTAATTAAATAAAATTCTTAGCAAATATTTTGGGTTTTTTTTTTTTAAATTGGTAACCCTCTTAAATTGAAATCGATCTTTTGGCGGGAACTCGACGCGTTCTATTGTGTTCTAATGTCACTTTAGTTTTAATTTCGGGTTAAATGTTCGGAATTGCCAAAAAAGAATTCAATATGTTTTAACATTTTAAAGACTCAATCTAGTGAATAATCAAAAATGGTTTACAGTTTTCTGTGTTTAGATGATATTTCTTTCGAACGCAATTATTTGATTATTTTATTAGTGATGTCATTATAGTACATACAACAATTAGCGCACAATTAACTAAACATATGAATAGAGTCAATAACAAGTCAGCCAACAAGTAAAAAAAGTGAATAACTTTTAATCTTTTTAACCATCTTTGCACAAAAATATTATTATACTCATCTGTTATTGGGAAATTTCATATTCCTCCGTCTGCGCATTTTTCCTAAAAAAAAGTAAAAAGTTTTTGCTTTACGTATTAATTTATATATCGGAGACAGTCATTAGTCAATTTTTTTATTGCTTAAATGGGTGGACGAGCTCACAGCCCACCTGATGTTAAGTTGTTACTGGAGCCCATAGATATCTACAACGTAAATGCGCCAGCCACCTTGAGATATAAGTTCTAAGGTCTCAGTATAGTTACAACGGCTACCCCACCCTTCAAACCAAAACGCATTATTGCTTCACGGCAGAAATAGGCTGGGTGGTGGTACCTACCCGTGCGGACTCACAAGAGGTCCTACCACCAATAATAGTAGCTAAACGAAACGCAGCACGATTCCCGAGAGATGGCAGCACGATTGCGGTATTGTTGGAACTCTGATAGCTTCGTGCTACGACAGAGGCTAGCCGATGGAGGCGCGTAGACGCCATCACACTTACCAACCAGCCTTCTTGAAGAGCGGTGTCTCCGCCCTAAGAACTGTCATTCGTTTTCGTTTGCCAACGTCAAGAGAAGATTTCTAAATTGTTTTAAGACGGCAAACGTGATTGGTGTACTCAATATTTCTCTTAGCTCGATCACTCTATTCACCCCTGCGATGTCTGAGGACGGTGTTAATAATTGTGGCTTCTCCGATATAACTATAGATTACAGTAATGCCCGTTATAACACAGTACCCTTATAACGCATTTTCGTATTACGCGATTTCAGTCTATCGTATAACACGGACATTCCTCAATTTAACGCGGTGATTTCACACATTATATTTTTGTTCTGTGAAATTTATGATTTGTACAGTTCTTAATTGATTTCCCGTACCTTTGCGCAATGTGTCAATTGCGTTGTTATAAAATTGAATTAATTTATTAAATTAGCGTTCCTAATTGTTAAATTGTAATAACATTAGTTAGGTATATTGTATTAAATAAAATATGTACATAACGCGTTATATGGGTAATACAAGCGCGTTACGCGAGATTACTCCTACAAGGAGTTTCCTATAACGCGGATCCAATCTACCGTGTTATAGGATTACTGTATATGGTCACATCATCATTCTCTGTTTACCTCGTCGTTTTTTTCTTTTTTTATTGCTTAGGTTGGTGGACGAGCTCACAGCCCACCTGGTGTTAAGTGGTTACTGGATCCCATAGACATCTACAACGTAAATGCGCCACCCACCTTGAGATATAAGTTCTAAGGTCTCAAGTATAGTTACAACGGCTGCCCCACCCTACAAACCGAAACGCATTACTGCTTTACGGCAGAAATAGGCAGGGTGGTGGTACCTACCCGCGCGGACTCTCAAGAGGTTCTACCACCAGTAAAGTTTATTTGACCCCAAATGACGTCACTTGGTATTAAAAGAAAACATTCGTTTAGGTTTATTATTTTATTTATATCCATTCACAGTTTAGATTTCCCGAAGTCCTTATCCAAAAACTCGGAGATATGTTTGGCGCAGCGCTCCGGATTTGTCAGATGAACGTCATGTCCACCCGTCACTGACACGATAAGAAAATTCCCACAGTTCTCCTCCATTTTGGTAAGGATTTCCTTGACGGCTTGTATTCTGTCCTCTGAACCCCTTCTTTCTTCGGTGGCTTGGAGCAATAAAGTGGGAGGAGAGTTTCTGGAGAACAATTCATAGTAATATTCTTTTGGATAGTTTGAGGGCGCTAGTAATTTCAATCTGTTGTCCCAAGATAAGCTAGAATAAAAAAAAAGAAACGAATTTAAAAGAAAACCAAATATTTATGGGCGTCTTCGACTGTGGAGTGTTGAGTGCACGATTGTGAGAAAATAAAACAAAATGGCGGCTTCTCTGGTTTGTAATAATCTCAGTGAATTCTTAACATTTTACATTCCTTAATTATGTTTAATTAATTATGTATTAATGGATTAATTAAACTTCATCTCATTCTGCTCCAAATTAATTTTCATTTAGCAGAACATATGTCTATCTATGTAAATAATAACATCTTAAAACTGAACACTGGCAACAATGGTATAGCAAGAAACCTATTGCCTAAAAGGTCTTGTAGCTGTTAGCCGTAAATAAATAGGAAAAAGAAGCTTGCCATACTAAAAGCAAAAAAAAACAAGTTTTCACCGAAGAATAGATAGGTAGCAAAAAGTTTCCCGAATATATTACATTAGCGAAGCTGCCAATCGGGGTTTATGAAGTCTGAGTATATTTTAATCCCACACACACAGGACCCTGATCCTTCATATCCTTGTTCTATACTCAAGCTCTCACACAGCGCGGACATAGTTTCGACCTGATGTATCACGACTAAATGGCGACATTAATGTTTTTGGCTTGAATCTTAAATGTAAATCTTAGCTTGAGGATGTCAGGTCTGAAAACGGTTGCTTTAAAAAAAAAAAACTACTTTCGTCACTCACACAAATCTGTCATCTCCGATTTGAATCAAGTTCCTCGATAGAATTATCTCAGCTTGTTCTCTATTAACGCCTCTAGCTTTGACGACAGCTTTCAAAGCTTCCTCTTTGCTGTAAGCTTTCCTCTCGGTAATCTGTTTGTGGTAGTCGACGTAGTGAGCGTCATAAAAACTTTTGTAATATTCATTCATCGGCACCATTTGTAAACGTTGCAACGAAAGACCCACGTCGAGGAGAATCAGTTTTTTTATTTGGCCCGGATTGATTGCGTTGTAGAACATGGCTTAAAAAAAATAAGTGTCATGTTTAATTCAGTATTTTTGGCGGGAACGCGAGGCTGTGTGGCTGCGTTCCCTTAACTTGTCAAATAGGCGGCGATTCGATCATCTTTAACTAAAGAGGTTAGAGGTAAGGAGAACCGTCTCTGTGTGTAAAAAGTGTCCGTTAAAATCTGCTAAATAAGGGTGGCGCTACAGTAGCAACCGGGTAAATTTTGAAAAAGGCGCTGAAAGTTATTAGAATAAGATAGAGAAATAAAAAAGAACAAAAGAACCAAAGACCTCACATGTTTACGTAGTCCAAACTAATTTCGTCAATATAACCTAAAATTATTGCTGTCGTAAAACGTGGAGACATCGATTGCATTTTCTTATCAGCTTTAAATAAAATACTTTTTGTCATTTTGTAGTGCTTACAGTTCTTTCGTTAAATTTTTAATTCTTTATCTTATTCTAAAAACTTTCAGCGCCTTTTTTTAAATTTACCCGGCTGCTACTGTAGCGCCACCTTTATTTAGCAGATTTTAACGGACACTTTTTCACACATAGTGACAGTTTTCCGTACCTCTACCCTCCATACCTACACTATTTTACCCCATTCGAATAGGTGAAAGAGTTTTTTTGTTAATATTTTTTGGCAAATGTTTTAACTATGAATGGCTCTCAGGTAAAGTTGCAAAAATATCGTTTAAGCTAAAAATCGGTTGTCTGTAAAGTCGGTTTACTGACGATAGTTGAACGTGACAACGTCATAAGAAAATACTGATGGAATGGTTTCATTTTTCAATTATCGCAATTATCGTTGCTATAAACAATTGACACCACATTCACTTTTCACTGAACTTCATACTTGACGAAAACATGTAAATGTATTATTGTATAGCAGCTGTCCACGCGGATGCGTCGCTCACTCAAGTAGGAGAGAGATGTCGAACGCTGCCGAACGCGGAGGCCGATTGTGCCTCTTTGTCGCTCGTTGCGCGCTCTCGCTTGCACTTGAAGCCTTAAATGGAACGCCTCAGAGCGAGGTAACGCCGCATGAGTCATGTTTTTTCGTGCGTGCAGCCGGCTCCATCGAATTACAAGACGTTGTCACGTCAATAACCTTTCAGCAATTGATATTCGTACCTTGTTCGCCGCCCATAGAATGTGCCATACATGTAAACGTCGTCCAACCCAAATGCTTAGCAACGTATTCTATAACGGGCGTGAAATGAAGCCTAGATAATTTTAGGCCTGAAAAAAAAACCAATTAAAATGGATTTCTTACTAATTTATGAATACAATAGACGAATATATAATAGTAATGTACGTATGAACGCTTTTTTATTGGCTTCGCCTATATCTATGTACCGCATCTTTGAACGTAATTAACACCTACATCAAAATCTCAAAACATATCAATAAGCATTGATAATACAATAATTTGACCCACTATTCTGACCGGATTTGTTCCGATAGATTATATCCAAAGATAGTTTTTTTTTTATGAATGAAGGATTATTGGTGGCCCGGAGGCTTTTCAGTTTCAACAGGACAGGTAGGTTAGCAAAGACCAGGATGGGTGGGATTAGCTAACAGCTGCCCGAGCGCCTCCGAAGGAGACCTAATAACTTAAGAGCAGCTGCTTCACCAATGCATCTACTACCGGATCGGAATCGCGACCCGCTGAAAAGATCCGGCGAGAAACTCAACGGGCTGATGTTTCGATAAGGTTACACGTGGAGCTCTTTGCCGAGTTCAACGGTCAGAGTCCCTAAGCCTGCTCCAAGTGTTAGAGCTAAAGGCGTCTAATGCAACGGTTATTTGATCTGGTAGAGCCGTAAGGACGTGTCTAGGGCGTCTATGGTGACTGGCTCCTACGTGGGCAGGATGCGAGGAGTAGTCAGCGGCTTTCACGATAAGGCAATTATAATGAAGAGATAGATTGTTCGCGCCAATTACACATTCGAAGTTTCAGTACACCACATGTATTTTCTGGTGGTAGGACCTCTTGTGAGTCCGCACGGGTAGGTACCACCACCCCGCCTATTTCTGCCGTGAAGCAGTAATGCGTTTCGGTTTGAAAGGTGCGGCAGCCGTTGTAACTATACTGAGATCTTAGAACTTATATCTCAAGGTGTGTGAGCTCGTCCACACATCTGAGCAATAAAAAAATAAAAAATAATAATAATAATTAAAAAAAAACCATGACTTAATCTTCGAGACAAGCACATGACTACTGGCAGAATCATGCAATTCTTTTTTTGTTTTACTAAGTTTTTGTAAGGAAATTAATAGTTTAAACAACTTTAAAGCAACCCCCAAATTTTTTTTATCTAAGTTCGCATCAACAATAAAAAAAATTAAAATCACATTATTGTAAAAAAGAACCTGCTTTTGTAACTAGACTAGTTGAACTGAGAGGACTCAGTTGTAGACAGAGACTCTGTCCCTGGCATTGCCTAGGTCCATGACAGATGGTAGCCACTCACTTACCCGATGGTATCCGTATCCTCAAGTGCCTACCAAACCAAAAAATACATCCCTACAGTTTATAATTTATTATGAACAAAAGATATTGTAATACATAGTTTAAAAACAAAAATAATAATTTAAAAAAACAAAAAAAATACGCTTTTTTACAATAAAATCATTTTTTCTTACACTATTTTTAATTCAAATTTATTAAAATTTATTTTCTATTTTTTAGTTGAATTTAATTTTTTTTTAATATTGAATTGTGATTGGTCCTTAATAAGTATCCCAAATTTCGAGTTAATCCGACGTTTTGAAGGGAGTCAAAATCATGTTCAAAGATACCGTTACATACTAACATACATACGTTTGAAGCTAACAAAAGCGTATTAAAAAATAATGAATATGGCTTGAGAAAAAAGGAATTCTTTAAAACTTAAAAAAAGAAATTAGAAATATAACAATTTCATACCAATCGGGAAAGCATCTGACTTTCCATGTCCGGGCATGTCATATCCAACATAATAATATTTATCCGGGAGCAGTTCCAGTAATGGAATGTAGGTGGCCACACTGTCCTGACGACCGTGTATTAGCAGTATTGGATCACCTCGTGGATCACCCCAGGATACGACTGAAACAGTAGATCAGGTACACATTACGTTGTGATATTCATAGTGATCCCTAAAGACATTCATGACAGGAATAACATTTTTTTAGACTAGACAGGTCTACCTGTTAGGTAGTTACTGAAGCTCATGGACATCAATAAAATAAATGGCGCCACCCACTTTGAGACATGTGTTCTAAGTCATACCTACCTGCTATATCTACCCATACAGACTCAAAATCCTACCAGCAGCATTGAAAAGAAGATGTCATATTTATATATAAATTCTATATTAAACTATTACTAACTGTTAAACTATTACTAACAACTGTTTTTTAAATTCAGATTATTGATTATAACCAAAATTTCAATCAGGTCATGGTTTTTTTTTCTGTTTAGATAAACAAGAATGGTTTGGAATATATAATTACAAATGTTGTAATATAAAATATAATATTATGCAATCAACAAAGTAGACACCATACAATGTTTGCATAGTTATAACTTTTTTATTAATTGGTATAGACTGGTGGACGAGCTCACAGCCCACCTGGTGTTAAGTGGTTACTGGAGCCCGTCTACAACGTAAATGCCGCCACCCACCTTGAGGCATGAGGTCTAGGGTCTCCATATAGTTACATCAGCTGTCCTACCCTACAAAACGAAACGCATTACTACTTCACGGCAGAAATAGGCAGGGTGGTGGTGCTTACCCGTGCGGACTCCCAAGACGTCCTACCACCAGTAATTATAATAATAGTATTACCTAACCATTGAATTTACAATGCACAATGACTATAATCGAAATGTAACCATAACAATACGGTTTTATATTTTACTGGCAGCCATATCTACCGCGATCGTAACGGTAAGTTATCATCATGTGCCGTGAAGATCAGAACATAAGCTAAAGCACTGTCTGCACAAGGAAATTAAGTTTACTTCATAAAACTTCAGATGCAATCGACTTACGCGCTAATTTCCCCCAAGGCAATGGGATCGTCCATTCTTTAAGTACTTTCATTGCAGTTACTAAAATTATATAGGTATGTAATATACAGGGTAAAATTTTTAATCTAGGTTTCATTCAAATAAAAATATTTCATTCCAAAGTCCATGTTGTTTACATTTGTTTTATGTTTGTGTACTTTGACATACGTAGATAGATACATACGGTGCTTGACGTAATAGTAGAGATGTGTCAACTCCACATATGTAAGTCGAGTGGCGATTTAATATCGAGTTGAATAATGTGAGGGAGTTCAAAAAGAGTCCCTTCTTTATTTCACCGTAAAGTCGTGTTTTATGTAATTAGCACCACAGTTAAAACAATAGAAATTTTATTGTTGTAGCGGCATAAACAATTCTAAGTTATTATATTATATTACTTATTAGACACATTTTAAATTATTTTTACGTTTTAAATTTTCGGCGGCAAAAAGGTCCCATGTCACAAGCTATCTTCTTTTTTTCCCACCTCTCGTGCGTTCCGTCTTACGCATCATATAAAAGGTGCGCTCTTAAACTCCACAAGTGAATGCTCTTTTTTCCCTACCTAAGCTGATGGTCCTGAGAGACCGTTTCAGCGTAAACTTAACTAATAGATAAGCTCACGGGGCTCAAACCTCATCAGGTTTGCTAGCACGAACCCTAGCAAGAGCCGTGCTTCGCAGAATCTACCACCGGATCGGAAACGCGACCCACTGAGAAGATCACTAAGACGAAGTTATAAGTTTGCACACTTTGCACTTCTATCGGCAGTAGGTTTTTTAAGATAAATTATTTGTAATTTACTTAAGTAAATGACTGAATTGAACAAATATTGTGAAATTTAATTTAATTTTACACAGTTTTACGTAGCAAAGTCGTCGAGGCCTAAAAGATAAGACGTCCGGTGCATTCGGATCTAGAAATGCAACGGTGTTCGAATCCCGCAGACAGGTACCAATTTTTGTAATAAAACACGTACTTAACAAATGTTCACGAATTACTTCCATGGTTAAATAAATTTATATATAAATATAATATAAATATTTTACTAACAATCACGCCGCGTTAACTGGTCCCGTGATAAGTTCGTAAAGAACTTGTGTTACAGGCACCAGATAACGGAAATAAATGTAAGATTTTTATTATACACATACATATATTTAATATACATCCATAACCCTGGAAAAGACATTTTATATTTATCATACAAATATCTTCCCATGGCGGGATTCGAACCCGCGACCCCCTAGTGTAGTGACCATGTCACTTACCACTACACCAGACGGACGTTAAAAAATAACATCGTGTAATAAAAATCGAACTCACAAAAAATATAATTTGCGTAATTACTGGTGGTAGGACGTCTTGTGAGTCCGCGCGGGTAAGTACCACAACCCTGCCTATTTCTGCCGTTAAGCAGTAACAAGTTTCAGTGTGAAGGGTGAGGCAGCCGTTGTACTGTAAAACGGAGACTTAGAACTCATGTCTCATCGTGAATAGCGGCATTTACGGTGTATTTGTATATGAGCTCTGATAACCAGTTAACATCAGATGGGCCGTAGGCTCGTCCGCTCAGCATTAAAGAAACGGATATTTTATCTTACATGATTCTGTCGGGAACCTACTTTCAGTTCAAAAATTTTTTTTCCCTACCTAAGCTGATGGTCTTGAGTCTCTTGAGAGACCATTTCAGCGTTACCTTAACTCGTAGGTGAGCTCACGGGGCTCAAACCTGATGACGTTGGTAACACGAACCCTAACAAGAGCCGTGCTTCGCAGAATCTACCACCGGATCGGAAACGCGACAAACTGAGAAGATCCGGCGAGAAACTCAGTGAGCTGTGTCTGAGGGTTAATTTACTCGTCGAGCCCTTCGTCGCAAGCGACGGGTTCGACAAGAACGATGACCAGTGCTTGAGGTACCTAAAACACTGTTAGTGGATCGGGAGCATCCGAAATGATGTGTTTTGGGCGACGTCGACTCAGTTCAAATAAGGGCATAAGAAGTGTGTTAATCTGAAGATACACTAGTTCTATTTCAATACTCGCGAAGCCCATCAAAATTTAATTTTATTAAAAAATACTGTATGGTTTTTGTTTAAGGTATCATGGTGAGTTTGCGGCGCATCGAAGTTATCATGTCCAGTTACTAAGCGCCTGGATTACCTAGCTTTGCCTTCTTTCGTTTTTTTTTTATATATGCTTAAGTCTTAGTGTTAGGTCATTAAGTCTCTTAGAAATACCTAGTCAGGTCATAAATTCTGTCACATGTTTAATGTAAAATAATTGAAACAAGTTTATTCATTATGTAACCATTCATATACCAAAATGAACTTAACAAAACATAGATTCTTATGACACTAAAGCTTATTCAAAATGACCTCCGTGATTTTGAATACAGGCCTTCAATATGCGCGGCCAGTCGTCTATCGCAGCACGAACGAGGTCCATGTCAATATCGGCGGCTGCCTTAATCAACGATGTCTTGAATGACTCCAAATTGGGATGAGGCTTTGAGCACGCCTTTTCCTCCAAGTGTTGCCATATCTTGTAATCTAACGGATTCAAATCTGGACTGGAGGAGGGCCAGTCTTCGTGCCGGATGAAGTCGATTTCACGTGCCGCTAGCCAGTCTTGTGTGCTCTTCGCTCTATGAGCTGGCGCCGAATCTTGTTGGAATACCCAGTGCCTGTTATTGAACATGGTATGAGAAACAGGTTCCACAAGGTTCGTCAGGACTGTATTTTGATACACAACTGCATTCGTTTTTACACCTTTCTCACAAAAATGTACCTCTGTTGAGCCCCAATAAGAAATTCCCAACCATACCATGAGCGAGGATGGAAAATGACCTCGTTGGACACGCGGAATACGGTTGCTCGCTTCTTCAATACTGTGTGCGTACACCTTATCATTTTGTTTGTTGTAGCTCTCTTCTACGGTAAAAATTTTTTCATCCGAAAAAAGAATTTCCCGATATTTTTTTCCCGCGTACCGCTTCAACAAAGCGCGGCATCTCTTCA